TAGCTGTTGTGCCAGCTCTGGTGTGACTCGAAGACGCTTCCCTTGATGATGTCGAAGAGGGAAAGAAGCCACACTTGTAGAGACTGAGACCTGAGTTTCAGTCGAGCATGAGCCAAGCCTGGAGTTGTTGACGTCATAAGGCCCAGGAGATGCTGAACATGTAGCGCGGACACTGTAGCTCCTGCCCTGAACTTCTTTACAGCTTTCAGAATCTTTTGGATCCGTTTTTGTGGAAGGAAGATGCGGCCTTTGATAGCATCTATTGTGGCACCAATGTACTCTATGACTCTTGAGGGAACCAAATGAGATTTTTTGTAATTTACCTTGAGACCTAGGTTCCGAAGCACATGTAGAATAAATTTTGTGTCTTTCAGGGCTCTGCATCTGGACGGGGAGACCACCAACCAGTCGTCGATGTACGGAAAAACATGGACACCGTTTAACCTCAGGTAAGCAGCAACAGGTGCCATGCACTTCGTAAACGTCCGGGGGGCCGTCGCCAGGCCAAACGGAAGAGCCAGGAACTGGTAGATGATGTCCTGAAAGACAAACCTGAGGAATCTGTGGTGTGAGGGATGAATCGTTATGTGAAAGTACGCGTCTTTCAGGTCTATGACGACAAACCAATCTTTTCTTTTCAGCAGATGGATTATAGACTCCAGCGTAACCATACGGAACCAGCGTGGTCGAAGGTAAGTATTTAGGGTTCTTAGGTCCATGATAGGTCTTCTTCCTCCATCTTTTTTGGGAACAGCGAAGTACCTTGAGTAGAAACCGTTTGCAATGTCTCTTTTTGGCACTTTCTGAACAGTGTGTTTTTCCAACAAAGAGTGAACCTCCTCCTCTAGGGCAGGGTCGAATGATGTGTGTTCTACCTGACCTAGAGGAGGATATTCTATAAATCCTAGCCGGTAGCCGGAGTGGATGATGAAAGTCTCTTGTGATGGCGGACCAATTTTGAATAAATGGTTGTAGTCTCGTCACGGGAGTGGCAGTATTGCTGCCGAGTCAAAGATATTGCTTGTGTTTCTTGGCAGGAGGCTTGTATGACTGACGTCGCTGGGAAGGCTGAGCATGGTAAGTAGAGGTTGAAGAGGTACCTTGTGAAGACCTGGACTGAGATTGCCCTTTAAATTGCCTGTATTGCTGAGAAGGTTGATTATATTGGCCGGAGGGCTTCTTCCACTGATATCTATTGAATCTGGGTTGAGGTTGAATGTAATAGGATTTAGCCGTCTTTTTGGCCTTGTGCAGCTCTTCAAGATGACTGTCGTTTTTTTCATTAAAAAGATCCGAGGCACTGAAAGGTAAGTCCTCCACCTTGGTCTTCACATCATCAAGAATATTCGCAGACCGAAGCCATGCGTGTCTGCGAAGAGTGACAGCAGATACAGAATCCTAGCAGCCGCCTCCACCGAATGTCTGGTGGCGATTCTCTGATGCTTGGAAACAGTTTGGGCCTCCTCATAGGTGTTGAGGTACCCTTACCTAACATCTTCAGGCAACAACTTTAAACCTGGGAGAATTTTCAGCCATAGCTGCTTTTGGTAAGCACCTAAGGCAGTCTGGTAATTAGCCACTCGCAGGATGAAGGAAATAAGGAAGCAGAGCCGTCTGTGTATCATCTCTAGCTTCTTCCCTTCCTTATTCGTTGGAATAACATGAGCTGTCCCAGTCAGTTTGGTACAGCTGGTCTTGACTATCAGGGAGTTCAGAATTGGATGCTTCACAAGAAATTTAGAATAATCACCAATGATCTTGTACATCTTCTCAGTGTGTCTAGGTAACGGGACTGCGACCGAGGGATGGTCCCAGAGTTCCTTAATAAGTCCCAACAAAGCTGGTAAATAGGATAAACTAGGAGGTGGGGAGCATTCCTTATTAATGTCCCCAAATATAAGATCCTCCTTTGGAGGTGGGGGCTCGTCCACATGCAACTTAAGAGTCTTCGCTAGTCTTGATAACATCTGGGAGTAGGAAGAAAAATCCTCAGATGGAGAGGAATCATGCGGATCACCAGTGTCAGATTCAACTGTCTCTCCCACTGGCAACTCATCAGTCTTTGGCTGTTGAGGCAGGTCACCAGAATAAGAGGCTTGAGAAGAGAATTGTACTTCATCCTCAGACGACATCTCATGGCTCCTGTTCTGACGTCGAGGCTCGAAACGCCGCGCCGCAGTAGTAGCACGCTGTGGAGGTGGCAGTGCTGTTGACATTGAAGCAGAAACAATAGGGGGTTTCACTAGTTTAACCCCAACTGGGGCTGTACGAGGGAATTTCTCAGCCTCCTCCTGGCGTCGACATCGATGCTTTCACGGGGGGGTTGATGCAGACGAAGATGAGACATATATGTATCTAACATGACGATGACGTTGACGATTGTAGCACGCTGTGGAGGTGGCAGTGCTGTTGACATTGAAGCAGAAACAATAGGGGGTTTCACTAGTTTAACCCCAACTGGGGCTGTACGAGGGAATTTCTCAGCCTCCTCCTGGCGTCGACATCGATGCTTTCACGGGGGGGTTGATGCAGACGAAGATGAGACATATATGTATCTAACATGACGATGACGTTGACGATTGTCTGATGATGTCGAAGAGGAAGTAGAATTCCTTCTATGACGTTGTCTGTGCCTCCTGTGCCTCGATCCTGAGGTGGATGAATCATCCGAAGAGGATCTATGTCGATGTCGAGAACGACGATGTTTCCCTTTGCCGTCCCTGCGAGGTGATCGATGTCGATCACCAGAGACATGCTTCCTTTTCTCCGCTTTCTTTCGCGGAGGCGAGGTTGGACGGGAGGGAGTTGGTGACACAGAGTGAGCCAAAGATGACCGCCCAGTGGAAACAGGGCTCAAGGGCTGAACCCAAGCTTGCCGTAACCTGGAGAAGCTGGCTTGGCATTGGAGAGGGAGCGCCAAGGGGTATAACTGGCTCTGCTTGCCTGGGAGGGAGCGAAGGGGCTGCCTCCGACATGGAATCCTTGTCCCTAGATGAGTCCTCCAAAATCGTCAAAGGGAGAGATGAGGAAATGGGAGCAAGCTGCTGGGCAGAATCTTTACTTTTGACTGACTGTTTGGTCTTCATTTGTTTTGCACTTTGGGACTGAAGCAGCCTTAGAAGACGTCTTCTTAGCCACAGCTTTCT